ATAGATAGATAGATAGATAGATAGATAGATAGATAGATAGATAGATAGATAGAAAGAAAGAAAGACAGACAGAGGAAGAAGAAATGAAACCCTTACAAAACTTAAAAAGACAAATTTACTTCAGTTCACAATTTCAAATTTCAGTCCATGGTCCGCTGGCCCTGTGACTGGCTTTGTTCCAGTGGTAGAGGAGACCTCACACCATGGCAACCCGGAAACAGGGAGGTGGGTTTGGATATCCCCATAAAGGACATACCCCCAGTGATTTCACTTTCTTCCTCTAGGTTTTGCCTCCTAAAGGTTCCACTCTCTCCCAGTAGCACCACTGGTTGACAACTCAGCATTTGGCATGTGGCCTTTGGGAACTCTTCAAGACCCAATTGACAGCACCTGCTTTCTAGTGCTGGGGCACACAGCATAGGTCTCCGGCCCAGGTGGTCAGTGATGGGAGGGGAAGGAGGGAACCTGGATTTCTCAGAAATGGAACAGGGTGAGCCCCTGTGGTGGTCTGAATAAAAATGACCCCATAGGTCCACAGAGAGTAGCACTATTAGGAGGTGTGGCCTTGTGGAGTAGGTCTGGCTTGGTCCCAGGAAGTGTGTTACTAGTGGGTAGGTTTTGAGCTCTCCCTGTGTCTCAGTCTTTTTCCTAATGCCTGTGGACCAAGATGCAGAACTCTCAACTCCTTCTCCAGGACTGTGTCTGCCTGCGTGCTGCCATGTTTCCCCACCATGTTAACAGATTAGACCTCTGAACTGTAAACCAGCCCCAGTCATATGTTTTCATTTATAAGAGCTGCTGTTGGCATGCTGTCTCTTCACAGCAATAAAACCTAAGGCACCCCCCCCCCCCAAAGACAAAGGAATCCCTTTGTGGAACACTGTGACCAAGTGGTCATTTGTAGAACTATAGTTGTCAACAATGTATCCTTTCATCCTGATTTGCTTTTCTTTTGCTGGGGTAAACTTCACAACCAAAAGCAGCTTGGGGAGGAGAGGGTTTATTTCAGCTTCCCTTGTAAATCCCAGTCTATCACTGAAGGAAGTCAGGACAGCAGCTCAAGGCAGGAGCCTGGCACAGAATCACAGAGAAATGCAGTTTACTGAATCACTCACTGGCTCTTGCTTCCTCCTTATGTAACCTGTAACACAGGTTACACAGTGGGGACCACAGTGGGCTGAACCCTCCCATGTCAGTCTATAATGAAGACATTTCCTTGAAGACATGACCACAACCCAATCTGATTAAGGCAATTCTCCCTCGAGGTTTTCTCTTTCTTAGTGACAGTAGGGCTATGTCAAGTTGACAATAAAAAGCTTGAAGATTGGAGAGTTGACTTAGTGGTTAAAAGCTCCAGTTGCTCACCCAGAGAACTGGGGTTTGCTCCCAGCACCCACATGGTGGCTCACAACCACCATGGTCCAGGGGATACATTGCCTTCTTCTAGCCTCCATGGATACTGTATGCACATGGTGCACAGACATACACACTGGCAAACCGCCATACACATACAGTAAGAACTTGAAACAGCTAACCAGCACACCTAGTGCTAACTTGTTTTATCTCAGGTGGCTGTGATTGACAACAATGTATCTCTGCATTAACTTGCATGACTATCACTGGTTAAAAACTCAGCGTTTCAGATTGCTTAGTACAGATGCTTTTGAAATGATGAAGGAGAGGCTGGAGCCTTGGCTCCATGGTTTAGGGTACTTGTTGCTCTTGCAAAGGACTCCAGTTTGATTCCCAGCATCCACATAGTGACTCACAATCATCCTTCACTCCAGTTCCTACCTTTTCTCACAGTAGGAGGGCTGGGATTACTAATGCATGCCGCCATATCCACCTTTTGCACTGATTCCAGGAACTGAACTCAGGTCATCAGCCTGTGTGGCTAGCACTTTAATCACTGAGCTATCTCCCTGGCTCCCACCTTGCTTTTGTCTGTTTCTTTCTTGTTTTTGTTTTTCGAGACAGGGTTTCTCTGTGTAACCCTGGCTGTCCTGTAACTTGCTTTGTAGATCAGGCTGACCTCAAACTCATAGAGATCAGCCAGCCTCTGCTTCCCCAGTGCTGGAATTAATGGTGTGGGCCACCACCCACCAAGACTGGATCTCTTACCTTTACCTGGAATTTGCCAGTTTGGAAAGGTGGATGACCAGAGACCCAGGGACCCATCTGTCTATGCCTCTCCAGCTTTCTGGGAAAAAAGCACATACTACTCTGCCCGACATTGCCTAGCACTGTTTTTATGTGGGTTCTGGGGATTGTGTAGCAAGCCCTTTGCCCACCGAGCCATTCACGGAAGTGCTCTTGCGCTGGCACCTGTGTTCTCTGTTCCCCCGAGTGTGCACACAGGTGGTTTGGGGAGCATCCTTTCAGTCCTATGATCTGTCTCTTGGTTCCCAATGCCCTTGTTAATGCTTGCGGGTCTGAATCTAAGGGCTTGTGAGATGTCTCTGTGATACACAAGTTCACGCCTGGGCCTGTGCTTCTTCATCAGGGGAATTTGTAAAGGGAAGTCCAGCATTTGAAA